ATACCACTTTTTCGACAGCTACAAAACAAACAAAACAAAGGTAAATTAATATCAAAATATCATGCATAAACAAATTGATTACTGCTACAGAACCAAATGCAGGAGGAATCAATAAAATCTTATGTCAACCTTTCAAAAACATTGTGTAATTGCTGGTGGCTCATTAAGAAACGTTCAAAGCTGTTCAATAACAGCAGGGAAACAATCTACCGCAATTGCGGGAAAAGATTTCTTTGAAGTATTCAGCCTGCAGACTTAGTTGATGCCATCGTATGTACCCCCCAGCCACCTGGGGTTCGTGTTTAGATCAAAGAGGTGCCCCCTGCACCCGCCCCTGTTGCGCTGCGGCCTCGGCAGTAGGATTATCTTCAGGGCTTTTTAGCAACTTTGCGTGCACCCTCCTTGCCCCTTTTTTCGCTATCAGTCGGTAACGGTTCACATGTATGTACTGGGTCAACACTTACGGTTGGCCTTTTTCCCTTACCCGCAAACACTAAATTGAATCTTGAGTCAATCAATCTTGTGCCATCCCGGGTTCATTTATCCATGATTTCTCACTGTTATGATTGACCTGTAAATAAATAAATGTAAATAAATAGATAAATAATACGTAGTTGCTCTATAACGCATGCGCTTCTCTGAAGAAAGAAGAAGCAGAAGGTCAAACAATTACCACATCAATAACGCACACCTTATCGCTAGCTCGCTAGTCTACAGGCAAACTATTTCATAGGGCGTGATTCTTTGCATATGTTTATGACAAAATACCTTTTTTTCAGCCTCACAGGCCTGACTCCGAAAGGTCATGTAAAAAGGTATTATTATGGTAAGGTAATATTCGGAACAGTGCATGAATTGCCGCCATCAAGTCCGGAAATTTCCCCACTTGAGGAGAAGTGGAGCAATTTTGCAGGAGAATGTCAAAATACGTCACCAACAAGGCAAAATTATTCTTAACATATTATGTGTATTTTTTGTTATGCTTCGTTCAATATTTTGTATAACACCAACAAGATTTTGAATGGAAATGGAAAATTTATTGGCTCCTAAACAGTAGTCAACATTCAACATAACCACCGTTGGACTCTTATCTTACCTGTGATTGAATGATCTTCTTTTTTTTTTGGTTTTGACTGTCTTATAATAACAAAATTCGCTGTGTCGTTGGTGAAAATATGTAAACACAGGTAGAATGCAAATAAAATAACCACGATAGTGCACGCGCAAATAAACCCTGCGCCACATTACCGGCGCGCATACTCTGGAGGGTACTGCCGAAGTCACCTGCAGGTAGCTTTGCGCAGAGGCGATAACGTGACCAATGAGGCTCTGCCGAGGTGCGTTTATTGCTGGTTGAAAACTTTTCCCAATTGCCCGCGATGGCCCCTGAAACATGGGTGTCATACGCAATTTTTGAACGCCCCTAGGGGGCAGAAATTGGTTGTGGTCATGGTCTTGAGTGTCTGCGGATGCTTCGGTTTTGGTATGCATGATTACCACATAAGTGTAAGCTAAGTAAGGATAAGGATAAAAGGATAAAGCATTTGCCGTTGATCAATCCCTTTTTGGGATGCGGCACGCATTCTACTTCCATTTGTACATTCGTAGTGGCGTTTGAATGCGATGTGGCCTATACAATGACTTGCGGGGCCAGCCGATGTACAAGTCAGTGTTTTTATCCTCCCAGACAAGTCTGGTACCAATTAACGACCCCGGAGGGATGGAAGGCTTGGGCGACTCACGACCCAGGATTTGATCCCCGGACCGCTCGCGTGGTAAGCGTGCCACTTGCCACTACACACTTCTGCCCAAAGCATTAATTAAGTTAGAAAAAATGCACCTTAGACTTTCATTTCAGGGCGCCATATAACATTGAACATCACAGAACTCGACCACACACTAGCGACAGAGATACTGTTTGATACCGGAATCTACTGCAATTTTGGCAGGCTGAGGCAATTAGCCCATCGACGAGTTTCAAAAAGTAGTCGTTCAAGTGGTTCACTTGACAGCTCTCGAGTAACAACTTTTGAGAGGGTGACAAACTGTCAACTAGTGTAAAGAAGAACTCGCTCAGTGAAATATTGCACAGACATTGGTAAGGGATCTCTACAACTGTGCAAAGTTTCGACATAGGCCCCGGATTTCTCGCTTATATTTTAGATGGAATTCTTCCTTTTTCACAGCGCTTTTTTGTAAAACTGCTAGTTCTCCAAAATTTTTATTGGGAAGGGTGGACTCCTAGGTCGTGGTGGTAGATTGCTCGTTCATAGATTAATCCACGGATGCCTGTCGAAGGCAGCGATTACGGTAGGTTATAGAGGGGTGGAGGGACGTGAGAGGTGCTCAATGGTACGCCAATGGCGAAAAAAGCAGAGAAATCCGTCAAGAAAACGCGAAAAGGGGACCCCCTTGTTTGGCCGTTGATTTTCGCTCAAGGACGGGCAGCGGCTAAGACGGCGGACGTATGGACGAGTTTACCGCAACGCGTTTGGTGGCACCATGCCAAACCACGCTCCAGTCGAGTTGCTCCAGTTGTGCCGCTGCTGGCAACGCAGCTCGTCCAAATCACCAACTAAACTAGTGGGCGGATCGCTTTTGGGGCGGAGTGCTTTCGAAGTCCTGCTCAGCAACCAGCGCACCTTTCGTCGTGAAAGCGCCACACCCGCTTCCTTGGCCAAGTAACTGCTTCGTGTGGTGCATATGCTTTCCCGATGCGCTCCCTCTTCATCGTAATCGCTTCCTTTAATCTTGCTGTGGTGACAGCTGAGTAATGTGATAGCTATAAGTGCTTTTTATGCCATCTTCTATGTGTCGGCGAGAGTGGAGTTGGAGGAAGCCATTCCATACTGCTCTGCGGCTCTAACGATAAGGCCGCGTTCATAGTTCGCGACTCGGGAGATTAGGATAGTAGGCGACAGGATATTAGGATAGTAGTAGAGTAGGAGATTGCGCTGACAAGATTGGATACGTATCGATTGAAATCGCTGGAGAGTAGTAGATTGGGCGACTTCAAGCGAATAGATCAATACATATCTAATCTTGTCAGCGCACTATAATCTACTATCCTAATCTCCTACTCTACTACTATCCTACTATCGTAATATCGCAATCTACTACTCTCCAGCGATTTCAATCCGTATCTAATCTTGTCAGCGCAATCTCCTACTCTACTACTATCCTAATCTACTACTATCCTAATCTCCCGTCAATACATATGTTTTTCATTGTCGCGTACTATCCTAATCTCCGAAGTCGCGAACTATGAACGCGGCTTAAACGTGAAACGCCATCATTGAAGTCATTTAATTTGAAGCGGTGAAATGCCCTCCAAACATCGACATCCAACCCGTTTTTATTAGAACTTATTGTTGGCTCATCCACTGTACGGCTTATCTTTTCCCTCTACCAGGCAAAATACACGGCTTCCAGCTCAAGATCGACAAAATCGATCCTTTGCGCCATTTCAGGCTAAGGCCGGCCTTTATCAAGAAGTTTCTTCAAATGGAAATGTCATCTAAGTTCTTTCCCGTGGCGTTATCAACGCTCTTATCGCTAGCCTTATCGATGAGCGCACAGTGCAAGATGACCACCATCCAAGTCCATTTCCCTCCCTCAGGGCACAAAGACAATGGTCCAGCAAGACAATGATGGACGTATCAATAGTTTCTGGTGACATACCAGAACGTCCGTGTCGCACTGCTAGAGATTACACAATGACAGGTAGGCGTTAAAAATAAAATTACGTTATCAAAGTGGATAAAGCTCTGTGGCGTATGCGCCATGCATACAAATCCTATAAGAAATTGGCCCCATTGTTTGCATTTTCATTGTATTAAAAGCACGCCACATAATTATGTTGGTGCAGTGAGGGCACTAAAAGTAGGAGCATCCAAATCACCAACCAAACCAGTGCGCGAACTGCTTTTAGAGCGTAAAGCTTTCCTCCCTTGGCGGCCAAGTAACCACTTCGTGTGGCACTACAGATCACCGATTCGCTTCCCTTAATCGTTCACTTCCTTAGCGCCAGCAACGAGGTTGGGAACGTCGCTAGATTCAACATCCAATACCACGCCCAAATATTCACCTTGATCGTATTTGTGACGCCGCCCGCATTCACTCGTGTGGTGTTAGAGATCGACGGGATATTTTTTATTCTGAAAATTTTCTCAACGTCACGGTTGACCCAGGTGAGTGGTTCTCGACCAAGCTCTCGCATAACTTCCACTTTCACTGGTAACCATTGGAACAGTACCCAAAAAACTCGGGAGGAGTTACCTGTATTTGCGAAACTATAAATAGTCATAGTTTATTAATAAATACTTCTAGATGCTGCTGATTTGATTTCAACCCAAATCGGTCGATCTCTAGACTACGTAATCGCACTATCTTCAAATGATAGTAAAAGCGTATTCTTGGTAAGTTCGTGGGCGCATCGCATTGTAACGAGTGACTTGCACTTACATCTGTCCTATCGCTTAGGCAGATTAATTGTATATATTAAAATGTACTATAAAGCAAGCCCACTAGTTCCCAACTAATCGAATAAAATTCTGAATGTGTGGCCTGATCCATTCTGAACGCATCCTAAATCCGGCCACAGTTCTCATTTAATTAGTACCATGAAGTTTCACATTTTCTTTATTAAATTTATAGAACGTAACACAACATGCAACAACTAAAACTATTCTTAGACAAATTCAATAAAACCGTCGGTACAATACAACAGATAGGAGTATAAGAAAGTATTAAATAGCTTCCCACAAACTACCATCAAGACTCCGTATTTCACTGCTCGTTCCATTACATGCAATAGGAAAATTCGGTCTTACTAACTTATAATAATTGATTGTCGAGTTGTGGGGAGAACTTTTGCTTGGTTGTTTGGGTTGGTGGTAAAAAGCAGCAGATAACAAAGCTGGTATAGCACACTTAAAAGCTTTAAGAAACTAAGCACTGCTTTGTGAAATGATTGCAATAATTTGTGAAAACGTGAATATTTAGAGCTCGATCTTTATCATATGATAGTCTTCCCGTCCTTCTTCTGTGTTTATGGAAATGGAATTATGCTCAAGGGATGAGTTCATCACCAGGCCATGTTCTTCCATTTCAGCGGCATGGGCTGTGACGAACGCTAGCAGAGCGCTATGATGCCTTGTAGGAATCAAACGACATTTCTGCTCTAAAATCCACAAAATTATCTTGAAACTATTTGGAGTCACAAGTTCCGTAACAAAATCATACCATCACGGAACCACTGCTTCTTTCCAGTAAGCCATCCATCAAGCACTACGGGAGACACATCTTCACTATGGAGTATATAATTAGCCGATCTGAAAAAGCCTACTCCAACATGAGAAATTCAAGAAAAACAAGCAAATGAGAAATAAACAAACAAGATGAAATGTAGAAGAGGGGTAGTAACAACGCAATAGATGTCATTTAAAAGTATGCTGGACATAAACGTGGGCTCACCTAATATTTGTGAAGTACTCGACTGCACTTTGCTCATCGGTGAGAGTGCATTTGCCATGGAGATGGGGTACCGTTACAAGTTCGAAGAAAAGTGGCCGCGACAAATGAGGCACCGTCACTGCTGCAAAGTAAATTTACAACACCTCGCAGACGTATCGAAATTATGCCATTCGCACACATGCAGTACAGGGAGAGCGCTTGTTAAATTACACTGAAATTACTCTCATAGCAGGCTGGAAATCAATCGTAGCTTTGTTAGACACATTTTCTTCATAGTTCAAAGTTAATAAATAATAAGAACAAATAAAAACAAATAAACAAATGAATGACTGAATGAATAAGTTCAAATAATCTTCAACAAAGCAACAATTTGCAGACCTGCGTCTCATCTAATCAAGAGAAGTAAGGTGGCCTAGCCTTATGGGACAGCCAGAGCACCCTTCCCACACAATCCCGGATCCAGCACCTTAAACGGTTGGAACGCAAGGCATATACCAAGAATTTGACTACTCTTACTATAAAATTGGGATTCTTCTGTTAACTAAATTGACTAAGTTAACTAAAATTAAACTAAATTTCGAGTTCGTTGACATCAGTACACCAACGTTACCTAACCATAAGGTGACGCGCACCTATGCCAAGAAGAAGGTGATCACTTTGAGAGTGTCGTGAACTGAGTGTGGTTCACTAGGACAGAAAGCGACTTTTTCGCGTTTCGCAGCGCGAAACATTGTTCGTTGCGGGAATCTCGGGTCCACTGATGATTCGCTGCGGGAACCTCGGGTCCACTGATGATCAGCGGTGGACCTGAGGTTCCCGCAGCGGAAAATGTTTCGCGCTGCGAAACGCGAAAAAGCCGCTTTCTGTCCTAGTGAACCACACCCTTGTGAACTATTTCTGAATATGTGGTGTGCTCCTTTCTAGGTTGATGACAAAGTTTTGAACAAGTCAAAAAAGGAAGTATGAAATGTAAGAGTGTAGGAGTACACATATGCTACTGATATGAATGGGGAGAGGAATCGTATTTGGGATGGAAATATCATTACGAAAGTTGAAACGCGTTCATAGAAAACCAAGACTAGAGCTCCAGTTCTTCTATCTCATTATGTGGGACGACTGGGCTGATTGGCTGCACCGCATGCCAAATCGAAAAAAACTGAACAAGTTAATTACAAATAGGCATAAAGTAATATTGTTTAGTCACCGAAAGGATATGACACAGGAGCGAGCAATCTTTGCAATCACTCGCGATAGATGATAGGGAGCTACCCAAAATTTGATAACAATCAAAATCAAACCTCGATTTCCACGTGGTGCTGTAAGCGGTGGGAGATGAAGTCGTATATCATGGTCACCCGAGGCAAGACGAAAACCGTCTTCGTCGACCTTAACAAAATTTTATGGAAAATGCTAACGAACTCCGCGAACTCAATTTCAATTGTCACACACATATGTCTCACCAATTAATTTGTTGAGAATGCGAGGGCAAAAACAGTAAAGAATTAACAGGAGAGGGGAGTCTTCCTTCCAGCCCCATTTTCTAAAACTATTGAATGGCTAGTACCTCATGGTCAGGTCGTTTCCCATTCTCCTTGTTCTCCATTCCCGAACCACCGTTGCTTAGTGCATGATCGACACGGTCTGAGTCTGTGGCTACCGTTTCCAGCACTGAGTCAATTACGGGATCCGTCTTAATCGAAATCATTGGAAAGAAAAGTTTCGACTCATGCCACAATCCGTCATTAATCCTATGAAGCTGAGGAGAAACAATGCGCTACTGAAATTTACTTCAAAATCGCGTGTAGTACTGGCAAGCACTCGAATCCGAAAAAATAATAGGGAAAACATAAAGAATACTGCAAGCCCGACTATAAAAAAAGAATAGTTGTGTACCTCTTCATATTTCACGGGACGGTTGTCACCATCGTTCTCAACAAGACTTGAGCGGGTTTGCATTGCCTTCATCTAAATCAAAGAAATTGAAGCTATTTAGCAAGCATTCTGCGCAGTGTATCTTTAAGACAACTGCAAGAACTCCTTTATCGAAGGCACGCATTTATAATGGCCTTAATGCTTGAAGTTACTATTTCCAAGAAGACAAGCAGAACCAGGTACCACTGTACGAAAATCTAACACAAGGAGCACCTCATAGGGCGCAAGATTTTGGATGACAAAAGGAATGAACTTTGAACGAATGCTGAGAATTCTGCATTAGAAAGTCTTACCTTCTCTTGCGCTAGTTCCGTAGCATCCTTGACTCCCTCCGCGACGGTTTCCGAAACTGTAGACGCAAGATCGATCAGACCCTCGTATGCTGAACCAACGGCCTGAAGAATGAAGATCACATCCACATTTCACAATTCCATCAAATCACATAGAAAATTTTCTAAGCTTTGAATGTGCAAGCAAAAAAAAGAAAAAGTGAAGTCGTGAAATAGTAATTAGGGTTCCTAAATAAGGATCAGATGTAAATAAACATGAACTGCCTCAGTTTGAATATCTCTGCGCCCTCGCCAGCGCATATGCTAGTGCTGAGGCTAGGGGAGTGGACGCTTCCTCGATCATTTGTTGGCTGAGCTTCCGCGCTACTTCTGCCGGATTAGATGATTCCTTCTTGCTTGCTTCATCATCATGTGAATCTCAGCCTTGCTCGACTCAACCTCATGTGAATTCCTTCTTGTTCGTGTCATCGTTCTAAAATGAGAACGCAATAAGTGACATAGCAAAATGAAAACATACATTGCTTGCTGCTGTTTAATATCATAATATGGAATCAAGTAATAAGGGGTAATAGAGATTCAAAATCAAACAATCAGCTAAGAATCTGCTCGGTAAAGAAACAATACCCTTGAGCGGTAATACAATATCAATTC